TTTTTAGAAGTTTGTAGGTCGGCCCTTCCCCCCCCCCCCCCCTGCTTTTTTCTCTAAGAGCAGAGCGTAGCGGTGGGGAATACCTTACCCCCCCCCCCGGCCGGCAATGCATGGCGCGAAAGCTACAGCGCCAACCCCGGGACAAGACTGGCATGCTCTTATGTTATTCTCTTGGAAGCGATTTTTCCTGCTCTACCAGTTGCTGCGCTTGGTGGCAGAGAGAGGCTCTTCCAGGATGGCAATGTGGCAGTCCATCGTCGGTTCGTCGAAGTGCGGTACAAGCAGGTCTTGCTTGAATACATGCGAGGGGAGAGCCGAGTGCGGATTGCGGCGTTTTTGGACTGCAGTATGCGCTGGCTTTTTTCTTCCTCGTGAACATGACACTTGTGCCGCTTCCTCGGCGTTATGCTAGTGCATGTGTATCTGCAACGAGGAGGAAGCTTTGCCCCGCTCGGGTACAGCAGTACCCCGCAAGAAAGAGAAAACAACGCCTTCTGCATCTCCACACGCTATCTCTCTCTCTCTCGCAGGTAGAGATCAACAACACGGACGCGGAGGGTCGCCTGGTGCTGAGCGACGGGGTCGCCTACGCCGCCCGCCACCTCGGGCCTTCGGTCATCATCGACATGGCCACGCTGACGGGCGCGCAGGGGGTGACGACCGGCAGACGGCACGCCTCCGTGCTGTCGAACGACGAGGCGCTCGAGAAGATGGCGGTCGAGTGCGGGCGATCGTCGGGGGACCTCGTGCACCCCGTGGTCTACTGCCCCGAGTTCTTCAGCGAAGAGTTTAGGTGCGTCAGCGGGTGGGGGGTAGAGAGCCCGCGGGGGTGAAGGGGGGGGGGGGGGGGGGGGGGCCTTCTACTCCGGGATGCCCTAATCTTTTGGCCCTTGACCCCCCCCCCCCACAAAGCCGGGAGGGACCCCCCCCGGGTTTCCCCGGACCCGGGTCTCACATCCCCCAAGGCGAAGCGCCCGGGGGGATTTGGGGGGTCCCATGAAGGGGGGGCTGCTCCCTGGTAAGGGGGTTTGGGGTCTTGGGGTTACTTTCTTGGGTACGGGTGACA